ATGATGATTCTCTTACACACTAATCAAACTTTATAGTCTGATTTCAATTAACGTTACTGATGATGATAAATGTTCTTAAATACTGACGTTAACGATAATTAGTATTAATTATACTTTGAGGATAAACATTAACGGACAGCAGTGACAGTCAAGTCTTAATAAAATCAGAGTGAGTCACTGATATTAACTTTAATAAATGTAAATAATGATATTAATGTTGTTATTTATGTGTAATGATGATGAGTCTGCAGCGCCGCAGTTTTACAGTCGGTCAGAAATTATTTTAATCTGAACGCAGAAATAAACTTTATTATTCATGAAATTTTTAATCTGAATGTTTGTGAAAAAATTAAACTTGGAGCTCCGCTCTTCATTCTGCTGAAATATCAACAAATAAAAACAATTAAATTAAATTAAATTAAATTAAATCACCAAAACTCAAACCGTGTCGATAAAGTTTGACAGATTAAAATTATTTCACTCTTTAAACCGTCGACTCAAAGTTTTATTTAAAGTAAATTAATGTGTGTGTGTGTGTGTGTGTGTTTCTGTAATAACAGTGAAATATGTGGATGTTAAATATTAAACACTGAGTCTGCAGACGCTCACAGAGAAACCTCCTCACTGTCCCAATATTTCCAATCGATCTGTGAATTTATTTTAAAGAGTTGATTTTCCAAAAACTCTCCTTTTATTTTTTTAATCTTAAAGAGTCAAAAACATTAAAAACATTTAAAACATTAAAAACATTAAAAACATTCGACTCCGAGCCGCTGAGATTTCTGAATCACTGAAATGATATTTTAGATGTTTGAGGGAAAGAGAGCTCAATAATAGGAGTATAAAATAATAACTCAGGTGAGTGAATGTAGAGACGGGTTAGATTATCAGAGTATAAAATAATAAAATAATAACTCAGGTTAGTAAGTTTAGAGACAGGTTAGATTATCAGAGTATAGAATAATAACTCAGGTTAGTAAATGTAGAGACAGGTTAAATTATCAGAGTATGAAACACTGACTGCGGTGAGCAGACCGGTTTGGAGTGAAATCTCGTGTTTCTTCAGTTTTTTTGAGGAGCTCAGAGTTTTTCTCTGTCGGCTCTTCTGATCGACTTTCATGAACAAACAAACACTCACATCTGTTTCTAAAACCTTCTTCTTCTTCTTCTTCTTCTTTACTTTATTAAAAAACAGTAAATTCTGAAAGAGTAAAAATCTGTTTCTCTGTTTGAAGCGTCTTTAGTTTTTTGGTTTCATCTGTTTTTTCGGTGATTTTTTCGTCCGTCTGTTCAGAGTTCTGAAAACAGGATTTAGGTGAAGAAGGTGATGGCTGCGTCCTCTCTGCTCTTTTTTCATTAAACTTTATTTTAATTTCAGATTTTTATTGATATTTATTTGGACTTTGTGAACTCGAGGTAAATCCTCCTGATTCAGAGATTCGACCTTCAAACTTCACGGCTCTAAAAAAAGAGTCTCTCAGTCCGACTCCGTCTCTCCCTCGCTGTCGTGTCTCTGATTTTATTCATAAATATTTTAAAAGTTTGTTTTTGTTCGTCTGCAGAAACTGAAGCTCAAAAATCTAAACAGACCTTTTTTTTTTTCCGTGTCCGTCTCCGGACTCGGTCCACTCGGACTCTAAACTCTGATTTTAATTCTGACCTTCAGACTCGAAAACCATGAAGATAAAAATGTTTAAAGGATTGAAACTCTCAGATATTAAATTATTTTTGGACTTTTTCTCTCTGAGTTTTTCTTCAGCCTCTCTCTGCAGACGTCGTCGTCGTTGTCTCACACACTCGGCTGAACGTTTAAAAAATCTGTTTTTATCACAAACCTCTTTGTTTTTATTCCTGAATGAAAATCTAAAAAAGTCGAATCAGTTTAATTTTATCATCAAACAACAAAAACTCATAAATTTAAATTTTACTGGAGAGAAAAATCTTTAAATCTTTAAATCTGAGGGACAGAAATCGGAGGAGCTGTCGGCGTCTCTCTGAACTGCAGAGGACTCGTCTATGAAGCCGCCTCCTCTTCATCTGAGCTCGCTATCTGAGCCGCCGCTTGTCCGTGGGGACTACAGCTCCCAGAATCCCTCAGGGGCGGCACTGATCGGCGGTGAGTTTACCTCTGAGCAGCCGTGTTGGCGTCCACCACGCCGGCAGAGTGCATCCAGGAGCGAACAGCCAGCGGCTCCTCCTTCATGCCGGCCGTGGCCCCGCGGGGCAGGTTGTCCTGGATCCCAAACATCTGCGGGGCCCCAACGCTACGACCGCCAACGCCGAGGCTCGACCACGACCGCAAAACAGCCGGAAAAAAACTCAAGAAGAAGAGAAAAAGTCAAGAAGGAGGAAAAAACTCCGGCGGCAGGAGAAGAAAAGTGATCGGGAGGAGGAGAGTCCAGAAAAACTCTGAGGACGAAGACGGTTTCTGACAAACGCCTCGAAGTCTCGAATCAGCCGGAGAGGACGGAGCGAGAGGAGGACGGGAGGAGGACGGGAAAAAAGGAGAAAAGAGGAGAAACAGATCTGTGCAGCAGGAGGAGGAGGAGAAAGAAAAAAGGAGGTTTTTATTGTTCTGCTGAGTCTCTGAACTTTCACAGATTTCTTCTCTCAGTTTATTTTCAGGGTTTTTAAAAACTTCTCTGCCGACATGTTGAAACGAAAGAACGAAAGAAAAAAGAAAAATAAAATCCTCAGAGGACAAGAAATGGAGGGGAAGAAGAGCGCCGGGTCCGGACGGCGAATCGAGCGCGAGGAAGCAAAGTGTCTTTTTTCTTTTCCCCAAAGAGCGCTTGAGAGGAGGGCCGGGATGGAGGGATGAGGAGCGGAGGAGAAACTCTCAGCCCTGCGGCCCCACAGGACTGGACGCCAAAACCCCAAAACCCCACGGGTCTTCCTCTGAGCTGCTGACGCCATCCAGAGGGGCGGGGCCTGACCATAAAAGGACAGGAGAGGTGAGAGAGTGAGAGAGTGTGAGGAGAGAGAGGAAGAAAGAGAGAGAGAGAGAGAGAGAGAGAGAGAGAGAAGGGGGGGAGGGGGCAGGTGCTCGAACCGACCAACCAGAGAGGAGGGGGGTGAGAGAGAGAGAGAGAGAGGGGAGGAGGGGCTGGGAGGGGAGAACCCGTGTGCAGTCATTACCTCTCTGAAGTGTCTCACTGGTCTCACTGGTGCGGCTGCTCTGGTTTTCGCTCTCTGGCCTCTGATTGGCTGTCAGGTGTCAGCTGTGGGGGGGTCAGGGTCAGGATCCTCCGAGGAATCTGGTGAGGGGTCAAAGTTCAGGAGGAAGACGGCTATGAGGATCAGACAGACTGAGAGTTTGGTCTATGAAGAGGATGAACAGCAGGGGGCGCTGTTCTCCATTCACCGCCATAAAAACACCAAAGAAGAAGAAGATGTCACCTCCACACGCATGTTCGAAATAAAACCAGGTCACGGCGGCGTTCCTCAGGGCGCCGAACTTTGGCTGAGATCATCCTCCACGCCGACGATTCTCAGATTTATCCGACAAACATCCGAGTCCGAAACCAGAGAAATAAAAAAACAATAAAATAAAAATAAAAACAGACACAGACGCTCAGTTTGATCATCAACTTTAACTCGGGGTTCCTCAGGGCGCCGTCCTCAGGGCGCCGTCCTCGGGACGATCGCAGAATAATCCAAACTCTGTTTCTCCACAGGAAGTGAGGCAGGCTTTTCAGAGTAAAAGCACTCCCGTCCTCCGGGGGAGAAAGGCCTCCGAGGCTCCGAGGGGTGGACCGAGTCCAGAGCGAGGAAGAGAGAGAAAAAGAGAGGAGGAGAAAATAGAACCGACCCGAGGAGGAGAGAGAGAGAAGACGAGAAACGGAGAGATGGTTTCAAGAAAGAGGAAAATATTCAGAGAGACAAATAAGAAGAAAAAAATGATGTTTTTGAATTTGACCAGAATGAAAAAAGGACGAACAGAAAGTGAAGAAGAAGAAAAAAAGGAGAAAATAAAAAAGGAGAAAATAAATCTGTGGACCGTTTTCAAAGATGGAGAGAAAAACTGATGAAGGACGTGAAGAAGAAGAAAGTGGTGAGTTTTTTTTTTTAATCAATTTTTAATTTCAATAAAATAAAAATAAAAAAAGAATGATAAAAAAAAACAGATGAAATAAAAAGACTGAAGAGAAAACTGCAGGTTTGTTATTCAGAGAAATTTCATCCTTCACTTAAAACGGAGGAAGAGTGGGGGGGGCAGGGTGAGAGGGGGGAGAGGGGGGGGAAGGGGGAGGAGGAGAAAGAAGGAGGGGGAGGAGGAGAAGGAGGGGGAGGAGAGGGCAATCTGGTTTCCAAATGAGTCTTGGTTCTTTTGGGACAAATCCTCGACCCTCAGGAGGCGGGGTCATCCCCGTTCGCTGTTGTTTTTATTTTCTTTTTTTTGTTTCATCGTCGAGCAGCAGGAGGAAAAAAAACAATCAATCCTCTTCAGTTTATAATCAATCAAAAATCAATCCTCTCTGTTTGAATATTGATCGATGATAAACTGAAGTTGATCAGATCTCACCTTTACCTGCTTCTGATCATGAACCTGATCAAATCTGATCAATAATGACGTTTTAATAAGGAGCAAATAAACCTGATAATTTTAAAGATCTCAGATCAATCAGGCCTCCTCCTCCTCTTTTATTTTGAAAGGCTGATTTTTTTTTTATTAAAAGTTTTTATTCCTTTAAATAAACATGAATCTGTTTTCATAATAACAGTTTAAATAATAACAGTTTTATTGATAACAGTTTTATTGATAACAGTTTTATTGATAACAGTTTAAATAATAACAGTTTATTGATAACAGTTTTAAAAAGTTTTATTGATAACAGTTTTATTGATAACAGTTTTATTGATAACAGTTTTAAAAAGTTTTATTGATAACAGTTTTATTGATAACAGTTTTATTGATAACAGTTTTATTGATAACAGTTTTAAAAAGTTTTATTGATAACAGTTTTATTGATAACAGTTTAAATAATAACAGTTTTATTGATAACAGTTTTATTGATAACAGTTTAAATAATAACAGTTTTATTGATAACAGTTTTATTGATAACAGTTTAAATAATAACAGTTTTATTGATAACAGTTTCATTGATAACTCCACGGTCAGAGAAACTCTGTCGATCGCAGATTTCAGGATTTAACTTCAGTCTGAAAATCAAAAATCTTCATTTCTGTCGAAAATTAAAACCTCTGAATTTGTGACGATGGTAAAATAAAAGTTTAAATACCTGAGAAAAAAAAAACTTCTTCTATTTGAACAGAATAAATCATGTTTGGACTGATCGTTGATACTGATATTAATATTGATTATTGATCATGATCCAATAATGTAGTTAAAAATAATTAAAAAGATTCAGAAACAAAAAAATAAAACGTCTTTATTTTTTCAAACGAGCCGCAGAGTCAAACCTCCTCATCGTTACTGTGTGTGTGAAGTGTTTCCTATTGTGTGTGTGTGAGAGAGACGGCGCCACACACACACACACACACACACACATTTGCATTTAAATAGCGACATCAACCAGCGTTCACGGCGGCACACCGGCGGGTTTCCCAGATGTCACGGCAAAGTCAGATGGGCCAGCTGTCACACACACACACACACACACACACACACACACACACACACACACACACACACACACACACAGCTGACTCGGTGAAAAACATTCATTCAGTTTAAACTACACAGAGTTTAAATACATACTCAGTGTGTGTGTGTGTGTGTGTGTGTGTGTGTGTGTGTGTGTGTGTGTGTGTGTGTGTGTGTGTGTTAAGAATCAGCAGGAACACGAATCGAACCTCAGACCTCGGCTGATCCTCATTAAACACCTGATGACATCACTCACCTGTGGTCCATCAGCCAATAGGAGTCGAGGATGTGAGAGCGAGGGGCCTCGAACTTTGAGCGCCGAGTTTAACGATTTCTCAGAGAGAAAACGGATCAGTTTAAAAATAATCAATAAAAAAGTTAATCAATCAATTACAAAAATATATATATATTTTTTTTAATCAACAGAAATATAAAAACAATCAATAAAAAAACAAAATCATTACAAACTGTCCATGAAAAACCAATCAATCAGAAACCAATAAAAACAAACAATCAATAAGAAACCGATAAAAACAAACCAATCAATAAGAAACTAATAAAAACAAACCAATCAATCAGAAACTAATAAAAACAAACCATTGAACTCAAATCAATAAAAAGAAAGAAGAGAAACAGCTGACTGAAAACCAATAATCAATGGTCATGGTCCGATCAGTAAACTCATTATTCATTAAAATAATTCATTGATCTGAAAAACAGCATCAAGAAACCGATCAGTGATGAAAGAAGAAGAATTGATCCTGATTGATGATCGACTCTGAAGGTCACCTGATCGTTTAATCCTGCTGACTCAGCAGATCAAAGTGTTTTTCATCATCACAACATCTGTGTGTGATCAGGAACAGCTGAGAGCGCCGCCATCGCCGCCAGTGCCATGGTCGTCTGCACAGGTGAGTCTCTTTCAAACACACCTGGTGGACAGAGGGCGGAGCTTCGAGGGTCTGAAACACCTTCAGCTTTTCCTCCACGGTGGACGTGAAGGACGGACAGGTGGAGAAAACAGACGGACCTGTCAGGTTTCTGCTTTTACTCTCAACCAATGAGAGACGGAGGCGGAACCAGCTGATCGGAACGATGACGACGTTTAAAAACATGAGAACGTTCAAGAACTTTGACGACGTTTAAAAAACTGAAACTATGAAACGTTTAAAAACATGAAAACGTTTAAAAACATTTAAAAAACTGAGAACGTTTAAAAACAAACGGAGACGAGCTGAAAATCACTGTGAGGAGATTTCTGAGAGTTCAGTGATGAACTGTCTGAGTCAGGAGGAGGAACAGAAGGAGGAGGAACAGGAGGAGGAACAGAAGAATAGAAACAGAGGAGGAGAAACAGAAAGAGAAAATGAAAGGAAACAAAGCTTTCGACCTTCAGCTGCAAACAGAAAAACATTTTACCATTCAGTGTGTGTGTGTGTGTGTGTGTGTGTGTGTGTGTGTGTGTGTGTGTGTGTGTGTGTGTGTGTGTGTGTGTGTGTGTGTGTGTGTGTGTGTGTTGTAGAGGGATTTCCAGTTCTCCCAGTTCAGGGAATTCCCTCTGTCCCAGCAGAGAGAGGGGCGAGCGAGGGAAGAGCGACACCAAGAGGAGAGAGAGAGAGAGAGAGGAAGGAAGAGAGAGGGAGAGTTTTCATTTAGATTTTTTTAAGACGTTTTTAGTAAAAAATCAAATATTTTTATATGTTTATATATTTATATATATATTTATAAATATATATATAAATATATATATATAAATATATAAACATATAAAAAAAAAGAAAAATATTATTTCAGGTAAAAATCACCTGATAGTTATTTTGTCTGTTTTTTGTCTAAATTTGTCTTTAATCTCATCGTGAATTAAAAACAGATCAACAGCAACAAGGACAGGAGGGACAGACACACAACAAAAACACACAAAACAGCAGAAGAGGGAGGACAGCAGAGACACGTCCTGAACAGGACAGACATCGAAGGAGACGGACGCTCAATCTGCTCTGATGGCGTTAGGAATCAATGAGTTAGACCCTCAGTCCGGTCTGACAGGCCGAGTTAGACCCTCAGTCCGGTCTGACAGGTACAGTCTCTGTTGTTGGTTCGAATCGTCGTCTCTGCTCCTTCGTTTCTCTTAATTGATCCGGACGTGTCTTTAATTACTTTAATTAATTAACCAGGAGGTTAATGGATTCAGCTTTGTCTCCAGATGTCCACAGATGCTGTGTCCTCTGTCTTTAACCTCATCACTCCTCCTCCACCTTCTCCTCCTCCTCTCTCTTCCTCTCCTCTCCTCCACCTTCTCCTCCTCCTCTCTCCTCCTCCTCCTCTCTCTTCCTCTCCTCCTCCTCCTCCTCCTCCTCCACCTTCTCCTCCTCCTCTCTCTTCCTCTCCTCTCCTCCACCTCTCTCCTCCTCCTCCCTCCTTCTCTCTCCTCCTCCTCCTCCACCTTCTCCTCCTCCTCTCTCTTCCTCTCTCCTCCTCCTCTCTCTTCCTCTCCTCTCCTCCTCCTCTCTCCTCCTCCTCTCTCTCCTTTTTCTGTTCTCGATGATTTTTGAGTTTTTCACTTTCTGTCGTATTTAAAGAGAATCTGTTTCTTTTGTCTTCAGGACGGAGGACAGGTCTGTCCAACAGAAACCCGGGATCTGGATCTGGATCAGGATCAGGGATCAGGATCAGGGATCTTGATCTCACAGTGACTCCTCCTCCTTGCTGTTAAAGAGGAGGTGTTTCCTGGTCGTCTGACTCTGATTTTTTTCCGTCTTTGTCGTTTGTCTGTGTTTTTGTGTGTATTTCATGTTGTGTTCTTTCTGTGTGTGTTTGTTGTGTAATTGTCTCTGTGGTCCAGGAGTGAGCCGGACCTTCAGCAGCTCACTGTCAGGCCTTTTCTCAAGACTCCCTCCTGGTTCCTCTCTCCTGGTTCCTCTCTCCTGGTTCCTCTCTCTCCTGGTTCCTCCCTCCTGTTTCCTCCCTCCTGGTTCCTCTCTCCTGGTTCCTCTCTCCTGGTTCCTCTCTCCTGGTTCCTCTCCCTCCTGGTTCCTCTCTCCTGGTTCCTCTCTCCTGGTTCCTCCCTCCTGTTTCCTCCCTCCTGGTTCCTCTCTCCTGGTTCCTCTCTCCTGGTTCCTCTCTCCTGGTTCCTCTCCCTCCTGGTTCCTCTCTCCTGTTTCCTCTCTCCTGGTTCCTCTCTCCTGGTTCCTCTCTCCTGGTTTGTCGGCTTGTTTTTGGCGGTGACCTCTGACCTCTGAGGTGGAAACATTTAGTTTTTTTTCGTTTCTTCAGGATATTTCAGGTTTTTGAAGTATGAAGTACTCTGATGAAGTAAAAGTATCACAGTAAGTAGGACGGCCTCTGTTTGGGGTCCCTGGGCCCCCCTCTGAGGACCGTGAATGTTTCAGAGACCCCCCCCCCCCCCCCCCTGTTACTAAAGTTCAGAGGTCACATGACCCTGAGATGAAGAAGAGGACTCTGCGGCTCCACGTCGTGTTTTAAACAAACATCTTCAGTCTTCAGGTCAGTTTCCTCTTTTTATCTTTAAAGGTGAAAAAAAATCTGAATATTTCTGATTAAAACATCATTAAACTGAAGGTGTGTGTGTGTGAGTGTATGTGAGTGTGTGTGTGTGTGTGTGTGTGTGTGTGTGTGTGTGTGTGTGTGTGTGTGTGTGTGTGTGTGCGCTGAGCTCGTCTCTGCTGGGGTTCATTAGTGAGTGTGTAGCGCCCTCTGCTGGATCACAGTGAGAATGGACGTCTCATTTGTCCTCATGCTTTTATAATTAAAGTTCATTCAATCAAACTTTATTTATAAATCATCTTTAACAAAGAGTAATCTGGGCGATAAAGGGTTAAAATCACAAACACACCTGAGGAACCGGACAGGTGAGGAGCAGACCGACAACAACAACAACGACGACGACATCAACAACAACGACAACGACGACATCACAGATAAACTCAGTACTACTACAAAAATACTACATCTACTACAAACTACCACAAAAATACTACATCTACTACAAACTACCACAAAAATACTACATCTCCATAAGTGACTAAGCCCTCAGTACTTTGACCTTTAATTATCAATCAATCAATCAATCAATCAAATTTTGTTTTTAAAGCACTTTTCATAGAAACATGTAAAACAAAGTGTGTCTGTGCAGAAAAAACAATGAAATTAATAAAAATAACAAACCCCCCATTCAACACAGACACACACACACACAGACACACACACACACACAACACACAGACACACACACACACAGACACACACACACAGACACACAGACACACACTCACACAAATCAAAATTGAACTAAAAACCAAAATAAATGATTGTGAAAACAGTTGACTGGTCGCTGATGCTGACAGCTCTCAAATTTATATTTATACTTAGATATATTTAAATATATTTATATTTATGTATATCTATATATTTATATCTATATACATTTATATATTTATATTTATATATATTTATATTTATGTATATCTATATATTTATATCTATATACATTTATATATTTATATTTATATATATTTATATTTATGTATATCTATATATTTATATCTATATACATTTATATATTTATATTTATGTATATCTATATATTTATATCTATATACATTTATATATTTATATTTATATTATATATTCATATTTATATTTATAAATACAGTACAGTCCCAAAGTTTGGACAGACCTCCTCATTCGATGCATTTTCTTTATTCTTATTTCTGTTTAATTGTAGATTCTCAGTGAAGGCGTCTGAACTATGAATGAACACATGAGGAATAATGTGCTGAAGAGAAACGTGTGAAATAACATGTTTTATGTTCCTCAGAGTCGACCCCCTTTGTTTTTTTCTGATAGAGCTGAAGACTTTTGCTGTCCTCTCACTGACCTTCATGACGTCGTCACCTGAGATGGTTTTAGTCCCACAGGTGTGTCTGCTCAGGGTTTCTGACAGAGTCGCTCACTAAGTTCTTCTGTCATCAAGAGCAAAGGGGGGCTACTTTAAAGAAACTGGAATATAAAACATGTTTTCAGTTATTTCACACTTTTTTACAAAGTTCCTCATGTGTTCATTCATAGTTTTGATCCTTCAGTGAGAATCTTTGATGTAAACAGTCGTATAAAAAATAAAGAAAAGACACTGAATGAGGAGGCGTGTCCAAACTTTGGGCCTGAACTGTATTTATATTTTTATATTCATTTATTTTTAGATAAACTCTCTCCCTCTCTCTCTCTCTCTCTCACTCTCTCACCACTCTCTCACTCTCTCTCTCTCTCTCTCTCTCTCTCTCTCTCTCTCTCTCTCTCCCTCTCTCTCACTCTCTCTCTCTCTCTCTCTCTCTCTCTCTCTCTCTCTCTCTCTCTCTCTCTCTCTCTCTCACTCTCTCTCTTTCACTCTCACTCACTCTCTCTCTCTCTCTCACTCTCTCTCACTCTTCTTTCTCTTTCTGCTCATGAATGGACGCAGTTTCAGAGACCAGGGTCAAAGGTCATCTGAATGTTTACACTGAGACTTTAAACGAGTTTCATTTAAATTTAAAGTTTTTTATTATTTTGACTCTTTTTTTATGTTTTTATCCCTTAATGACTTTTGAAGGTGTGAAACTTTATTGAAAATTCTTCACTGACAGAGTTTCACGGTCTTTGTCTCCATCTAGTGGACGAAACTCAGACCAACTCTTTAAGGTCAGTCCACTCGACCTGACTCAGGAGATAGATAAGGAGGACCAAAGACATGAAGAGCTTTAAAAACCAATAAAACAAACTGTTTTAAATCTATTTTAAAAGAGAGACGGGAGTCGACGCAGAGACCTTCAGACCGCTGTCATGTGACCTCTCTGTCTGCAGCTGAACTTTGGAGGAACTGTGAAAAAGTTCTTTTAGGGTGTTAAAATAATCTATAAGTGATGAAAACATGAATTCATGTCTGCAGAGAGAGAGAAACGTTCACTCTCTGGTTCTTTAAACGATAAAATACCTTCTCAGTAAAATCTCAGATGTGGTTCAAAAACTGAATCAGGTTCCAGGAGAACTCTGAGTCCACTGACCCGGGTCTCTGAACCGATGACTAAAACCTGAGTTTGATCATCTGAAGGTCTTCTCTGAAGAAGTCCTGGTCTGGATGGACGCAGATGATGGTCCTAAACCTGGAGATCTAGTTCAGTCTTCACAGATGAGGAAGATACTCAGGACACGGACTCTGATGATCCCGGACCATCAGGGAGACTAGATCTGGACTGGGGGATGAGAACAGGTCTGGTGGACCCTCTGGTCTGAGGAGAGGAGGATTTCAGAGTCCAGGATCAGGTTTTAATCAGACAGACTTCAGGACAGTTTTCCTCTCAGTCCACCTCAGATGGACTCCGGTCCAGAGGAGTCTGCTGGTTCTGGATCCTGGTCTCCTCTGATTGGTCGTCTGTGTTTTTGTTTTGATTGATCAGCTGATTTTTTTGAGTTTAAGAACAAAAAGTTTCTAAGGGCTCAGAACCACATTTCCCATGAGGCCCCTGTGTTTCTGTGAGGGGGAGGAGAGTGGGAGGAGGGATGGGGGGTGGGGGGGAAGAATGTGAGGAATTCATTTCCTGTTGAAGAGAGAGAGAGGAGTCACAGTCATGGCCGAGCGAAGGAGCGCTGACTCCTCCGAACTCCTGCAGGAGTCTGACTGTGTCTGACTCTGGTCCAGAGGAGGAGAGGAGGAGGAGCAGGAGGAACAGGAGGAGCAGGAGGCAGGAGGAGCAGGAGGAGCAGGGGTCCATCATGGCCGAGCCGCTGCTGAAGAGAACTTTCTCCAGGCTGAGAGGCAGAGACCGATCCCGCAGGAAGACCGACCCCAAACTGAGCGGTGAGACAAAACCGAGCCGTCAGTGTGTGTGTGTGTGTGTGT